CGGCTAGATGAGGGGGGGGAGGGCCTCTGGCAGGGTCACAAGCGAGTCGTTGGTTAGTTGTAAACTATGGTGGGTACATAGTGGTGAGGTCCTCCCTGATTGGTTAGTTCATGCTTGGGTACTTGTAGGAACCACCTGATTGGCTATACTTCCAGCTACTATAATGACAAGGCCTTTCCTGACTGGCTAGCTACCGTGCATATGAGGAAAGTCTTTCTGATTAGCCAAGTGATTGGACTCATTCTCAAGGACTTTCCCTATTGGTCGGGTCCGTGTAAGCAAGGTCTTTCCTGAGTGGCTAGCCTCAGGGGTGAGTGACGAAGAATCTACCTGGTTGGCTGGACAGAATTACACGACTTCTGGTTGGCCGAACACAATTGCACTCACTAGTACCGGTAACTAAATGGGATTTTCTGGTTAGTCATTTCCGATTTGTCAGTTCTATTCACACACACACACACACAACACAAGCTCCAAATAAGTGTGGTCGCCGGCAGTTTTAAACCTCAGATATGACCCAATAAACGTGCGAAATTATCGTGGTGCTGTGGTGGTGGTGGCTGGCTCTAAATATAACTTCCATCCAGGTAACATCCAGGTGGGTAATATAAGTTAAGATAAAATAAATAAAAAAATACCTGCGTGTTAATTATTCAGGCGAGGGAAGTGGGCTGTAAGGCACCTTAGCCAGGGTGTGTGTGTGTGTGTGTGTCCAAGCTACACAACTACCTTCACACTTACACTACTACCTATCAACCTACACACGTTCACAATTACCTACCTACCTAGCCTACACACCTACCTGCCTGACTCACGTAATGTTGGGGCCGCAATCTGATCAATAAAACAGTAGCAGCGGACCTCTTGAGTAGGGTACAAAGGCGGGAGGGAGGGAGGGAGAAGCCGCCCACTGGACTATGGTGAGCAGCAACACATAACAGTGGCCTACTGCCTCACCAAATGAAAGAGACGAGAGAGGTAGCAAAATATACGTTGAATGACCTCCTGGCCTCTCATCCTTGAACCAGAGTCAGATATAATGCGACACGTACCCACCTGAGGCATTATATACAAATTGCACATCATATTGCAATGGCTGATGCAAAAAAACAAACAAACATGTCACGTTCAAAATAGATCAACATTAACATCTTTACTGACGTACCCATCACAGCAGCCCTCTTAACCCCTCCCCTTAGTCTGGCCCTTAAATGTGGCCACCACCCCCCACCCTTACAGCCCTCCCTGGCCCTGCCCTCCATCCCATGTTGAACTAAGGGATGAGGGGCAGCTCCCAGGCTCCCTCCACTTAGCCTCGTCGACTACATTGCGTCACCAACCAGGGAATAAGCTCCATCCACCCCCCCAGGTCCCCCCACTTCCCACATTTCCTGATTTTCCCAGTCGTAATCCTGTTTCCACACGGACACCCTCAAACTCTCCACAAAACGACGCGTCATTAATAAGGAAGTAAACAGAACTCAATTATGACGTATAACAAAATTCACCGTAAAGGCCATACGTTCAATAATATCACGTTACATAAAGGCATACACCATCACACATACGTACATACAGAAACCACTCACATAACACACGCGCACACTAGCTTACGTAACACCCTCCCAGCATCCAAGAGAACCCCTGTTACCCAGAATGCCTTAAAAACTTGTTATATTATCCACCAGTTGCCAAGAATATTACCCAACACCATCACCATGACTTAAGAAGAGGAAAATCGATCTTCTACCAATATAACGGGAAACAACATCATGTCCAGTAGTTTTGAGAAGCGTTATGCCCTGTTGATCCTACGACTTGGCGAGGCTTGGGGACCTCTTAAAAACGACTTAATGTGATTTTGTGGTATGAGTGTAATTAAAAAAAATACAAATACTTTACTGACAAAGTTTTACGTATTAGTTTATAAGTAAAGTTTATAAGTAAAATTGGGAAATATATTTACAAAAAAACAAAATAAAAACGGAATTCTAATCTCTAGGCTTCCGTTTTTCGACTTTATGATCCTTATTATAAGAGATCCGGGTGTGACGTCATTTAGTTAAATTATAGTTTTTATTCTACGGTGATCACCAGTTAATTACGCCATTCTTAATCCACTTTACGTCGTTATTTGTTACCGAGCAGTTGGGAGTAACGATCGGCATCACCCACGGAACTCTACACTGATTTGTATATTGGGAAACAGCCCAAAACTATACTCGATACCGTTTTTGGCGCAAATTTATATTTTTCCAACCTTCCTTCAATACAACTCAAAAACACCGCAGAAAAGAAAGAGAAAGAAAATGGCAGGAATATCGTGTGTAGAATCAATTACTGACTTTGCAAAAACTAAGATTAATAAAATATAAAAAAGATAAATAAATCACTACTATTGCTTTACAAAATTGCAATACTTGTAGTAATCGAACAACGTCTTGAAACCCTACACAAGTCTGGTGAGGCAGTGAGGGAGGAAGGGGAGTGAGGGAGGGGAGGTTGCATGTGCGCGGTGGGGCTGGACTGGTGGGGAACAGTCTCCTCATCCACAGACAGACAGTCACTCACAGTCACGCTCTACTGAGGCCGGCGGCAACTACACTACACTAACCCTTTGTAATTAAGTATACAAAAAATATAAATATATATATTTCTCATCTTAATCATTAATGACACTAACCAACCTTATGAATTAAGTTAAAAATGACTCGGCGCTTAAAACACCCCAATTATTGAATTTCACAGTTAAGTCATTTTACAAGATCAATATCGGTAATTACCTCACAACGGTATAAATGCGCACACACACACACACTCACTCGCCAGCCTTCATTCTACACATTCCTGGCTACCTCAACCGCATCTCATGGTCAGATGGCTCACATTCTGTACCTAAATAAATTCATTGTTTTTTTTCTTCTTTTTCGCTTATACATTACACTGTACTACACTTGCCTGCACACTGTCGGGAACACCCCATTCTTATAATACTATAGTACGTAAAATTTTATCAAAATTTCCCTTCTAAATTACTAAATCATAAAAAAAATCCTGTGTTTTGTTCCGGTCACTAAGTACATTTTATACCTGGATGATCTGCAGTCTCTACTATATGCACAATGAATCAATGTAATCTTGTATGATGATTTGACTGAATATCTATCTATCTATCTTTTACTCAATGACTCACGACACTTGAGGATCAATAGCCTCTCTCCCTCACGCTCTCCCACTTGTGTCTAAAATACTGTATCAACATCAGACGTTATTCCGCTCAGCTACTTACTGTCCGTCCAATAATAGCCTTCTCTCTCTCTCTCCTAGACACCTTCACACCTACAACACAATAATACCCAAATAAACTGAACAGGATGATCCACTTGAGGTACTCCACACACACACACACACAGGCCCTCCACACGTACCGTACACACAAGCCTATAGTAAAGTGGTCTCCCAGCAGATCCCCATTACTGTGTACAGCCACGGATGCTTCGCCACTGACAGATACTATATACACTTATAAGAGACTGGCTACTAACACCTAAACTACCACCACTTAAACCATTAATACAACACCACTGTCACACCCCCAACAAGCAGCCCTTACGTATGCAACACACCTACACATACCCCGTTATACACACACACACAGACAGACAGACGTTCTTACACGACATAACTGTACACTTTCTCTCCTTGTATATTCATTATGGCTAAAATTGGGTGGTGTATGTGTGTCCACTCTCCACCATACCATCATCTTGTTGCTTCTTCCTGTTACATATTTCAAAGTGCCTCCCCATCCCCCCCATCCACTTCTTAACACTGCAAAGGTTTCTTGGCGCTTTAATTTACTTTTCTACTTGTTCCTGCATGGAGCTTTTCCTCATGAATTAAATACGTAATTCTTATTTCATTAACCCTGTTATGTATGTGCGTACGTATTGCAAAAGATTCATTCATTATGCATTATCAATCTTCCCTTGAGTAAATGCCGACTATTCATTTTTGTAATTATTCATTATCAATTTATGTATGAATCACATACTGTATATTATATTTCTGTATTCATTATCAATTACATAATCACCTAAGTCTGGTAACTTCCTCCCCCGAGACACCACCTCTACTTCCTCGCCCACGGCAGTTCCTTTTGGTGTGGGAACTTGAGGACCTCGCTAGCACCTCCAACCATATCCGCCTTAGGCTTAGCAGCACAGTGAGACCTGCACCACACACAAGCTACAATAAGTCTTAATTACCTGGCTCTAAGGTGGGTTTTCCCACTTTTATCCATTTAAGCTGACGTCTTTCCCTTAGTAATAATGTATTCATGGATATTCTTCACAGTTACACGACCAACATGGCTAGCGGCTCCCCGAGTATTCTCATGAATACATTATCCACATTACAGGGAGAAGCAGCAGTGTAGTGCCTCTGCTGTATAATGAAAACATAACACCACACAAGTTGGACTGTGGGCTTCTGTTATCCTCCCCACACCAAGAAAGTTACTCACTTATTACCTAAACTATTACACTTGGTAGTGTGACACACAAAGTACCTTATATTTCACCCATATTTTTGCTGTGCGGAACTTGTCTCAATAAACACGGTCTTCCAGTATTACCAACACAAATGTTTCTGTGCCCAGGGTACTGGATATAGAAAGTGCAATGGCATAAGACTTAGACTGTGGTGTGTGAGTTTACTGTACCAGAACCTCGAGCATAATAAGTCACAAATACACAGTCTTATTTCACCTTAAGATTAACTACCTTAAAGCTAACCTAAGCTAACCTCTTCCCCTCAAATACTGTAGTGTTAAGGTGACATACTGGGGTGGAGATTCTTCAGGTGATCGAGAAAAAAAAAGCCCACATATGCAATTCCGTTCATATAAATAGAATTCAAAACTAAAGGTTCCTGTATCCACTAACTCCTTTGATGTGTAAATAGACCACTTCAGATCCATTCATTTACGTTTACTGTACCTGTAGTCCTGAATCCGAGCGCTGCTTGCAAAAGACAAAATACAGTCACTAATGTAATTGCTGTGGAATTACCAGACACACATCTGTACCACTGTAAGCATTCTCTCATCGTACTTATGAAATCTGTACCACTAAGCATCTACTCTCTTATGAAAAACAAAATATATAACCACTTCTGTAATTTCATTGTAATACACAGGTACATACATCGGTACTGTACTATTCATAGTCTCCATCATTTCAACTGTATTATGTATTAATATTTTTGCTTTTACTGTATTTTCTGAGTGAGTAGTTAAGAAATTTATTAGTTATTATGAGGTAATTATGGATGCTTTCCATAAAATGTACTAAATGTATCCCTTCTCTAGAAAGTAAAGACAGAAGAGAAGTAAAAAAAATAAGATCACTCAGAGGAAGAACTTAACAGGTACGAGCCTAACTCTAACTTGCTGCAGAGGAAACAAGTTGGGAGATACTATACTATATCCATGAGCCACAGTACGTACCTTAAAGCCTCGCGAGCGTTTACAGCAGACACACGCCAGGAGGGTGGTGACGGAGGAGAGGAGTGCAGCAACTCCCAACACGGCGTGGATGTAGTCCCTGTTGTTCCAGCCACCCTCCCTGCCTAACCCTGAAGTAACCAGTGTATAATTAATTTTTTTTCAATGTAATTAATTTCAACCAATGTATAATCAATGTTAACCATAGTCTAGGATACCTATAATCAAATCACCTGTCATCTTGTTGCTTAAGCCCTTTTTTAATCACTTCTTATACTTGTCTTGCATCATTCCCCCTATTTCTTCCTTCTTGTCTGTGTCCCTTGAACCAGCCTACACAAATAATGAGTACTCTGTATAGCTATGGAAAACACAAGTACTGTATCAATAAAGTTAACTAACACATCATTTCTATTTTACTTATACTGTAATGAATTCTCCTATAAACTTAAAAAAAAAAGTTTTTTGCCGCCAGCCTAATACTATGTCAACACACCATTGTATATAAGTACAGAACACAAAACATAAATATACACTACTTTAATGAATACAAAAGGTTGTCAAGGACACTGTTGGACTAAAAACAATGGAGGGTCTCTATGATTTTTAAAACAGACAATGATTCATTATAATAAAATGATCTGAACCTTTTATGTTCTATGCAAAACCTGCAAATTTCCCTGTGAGGAGCAGTAGGTTAGGTTAGGTTAGGTCAATGTTAGTGTCAGATTAGGTTAGGTTAATGTTCGGATATTTCATCATCAGGTGATCCTTAGATACTTCTTTCATTTAATAATTTAGGAGAATAAACTTTCCTCAGCCACTTCACTCAAGAGGCTGGCAGTAATCCTAATAGGCTGGCAGAGGTGTTTCTGGCTGCACTACCATATCACAAACACATGACTGTCATCAAGCTGGCATTCATTTTTATGCCTCCTCCTGTCACTACCAGCTGCTCCCTCCTTGGCTACATAAACATTGTTGTGACATGACACACATTATGAATATCACATGAATTTCACAACATTTAAATTCCTCACTCTCATCTTGTATTTGTAAGGTCCCTTCTGTGGGAATTCCTGCTATTAGTTATTCATATCATCTCTCCTGTGTGGATTCTTCTTTCAATGTATACAGTACAGTACAGTACTATACAGTTCTACTGAATACAGACAATGGGAAATTCCCTTCCCTCCTGACCTGTTATTCAATATTTGACATACAGTACAAAGACCTGAAGCTAAGGAGCCCAGAGTGTAACCTGCCTCAGAAATACAAGGCATGAAGTAATAATATACTACGGTCAACTATGTAAACTACGATACAATCAAGTACTGTATTATCTCATAATCTGGAGAGCCAATGAGGAGCAACAAAACCCATGACTCAGTCCACATACAATATGCATTTGTCCAGAGTGTGGAGCACTTACCCTGCATCTGACAACAAGGTGAAGGAATAACCTAAGCAGTCAAACCCTACTAAAGCACATGTAATACTGTACTGCACTGTATTATTCTAAAAATTTGCATATTTTTTTAAAAATAAAGTGACTGTAATTTACTACACTGTACTGTAATTACATAAAGTCACACTGCAAAAGAAAACAAATACTGTACTGTAAACAACTACGGTAGTTTGCAGTATTCCCTTTTATGTGCCTGAGGACAAACACTGGCATCTGTAACAGTACTGACTAACACACAATAAGCCAAGCTACACACCAAGAAGTGAGAGAGTCCCACACAATTGCAAACTCTTGCAATGTGATTCCAGATACAAGATAGCCACTGTGCATGTACTATGACCGAGAGTAGAACGAGGGTAATGGAACACTCGGCTCACATGACAGTAAGAATATCTCTACCTTTCAGTTCTAAAAGGCATCAGAAGCCTCCAAGATCTCTTTCTTAGGGACTATGGTTGTGCCAAGGTTATGAACTAGAACCAACTCTTCATTTAAATCCTGCCGTCAAGGTCAAGGACTGCAGTTTTCAACATGTACACTTTGGTTTGCAATACGTGAGTTTCCTGAACCAAATATTATGTTGTAAAGGTTTTATGGCTTTTGGATTCATTTGTATTCATGTCTACTGTAGTTTAGGCACCAACTTTGTTTAAAATAAACCAGCCAAAAGCACAGTCAAACTGAGGCAACGTGATACTATACTATACTACAGTATACTCCTACTTTGATGATATTACTACATTTGTTCTGTTCGTTTCTGAATATAGTATAGTCCTGTATACTGTAATATAAATAGGACATCAGACCTAAAAAAAAAAATTTAGCTGCTTCATGTATTTCTCAAAATGGAATCACACTTGCACTCTTGTAAGGTATCCTTTGGTTGTATTGTATGTACTGTACAGTACTTCTACTGCCAGGGTCAAGAGACACTTATTTCCTACAAGAGCCAACTTTTAAATAAGAGAACAGTATCTCTGATTCTCTCACTGGGAGCTAAATCAATACAGTAAATGAATTAACTAAAGTGATTATTTTAATCCCTTAGAATTAAATCAAGTTTAACTGAAGGAAAGTTAGTCTTTACCAAGACCATTTTTGTTAAACTTTAATTTTCTGTGAAGATTATAATTTATCCTCAGTAAGTTACAGAACAACCTCAGGCAGATAAGGATTCATCAAAGAGTGATTGAGTTAACCTTAACAAACTAAGTCAATAAACTTGATTTGCACAATTAAAATAAACTTGGTAAAATGTCAGTCTGTCTGACAAGAAAGAAATGGAGAATAAAAGTATACACCGTAGTATAGTAGAAACAAGGCCAACACTTACCTTATAAACTTACATTAATCTACAATACCATACAGTACTGTATACTGTTACTGTGTATATAACATGATAAAAGATTAAGTACAAAAAAGTTTATAATGCTGTTTTGCCAACTAAGATCTTGATAACCACAGTATGTATGATCATTTACTAAGTGAATAATTACTTTACCATGCATGATGCTATAATCTATGTAGCTACCTTACTTTTTATTATTTATGATGAAAATGTAAAACTGTACTGTATACAGTACAGTATACTGTCCAGTACTCTATATCGCTAGTGTAGGGCTGTAGCCAAATGATAAGTGAATATGATCATTGCTATCTGAGATCACCTGTTATCATAAAAGCTTGATACTGTGTACAATATCTCTAATCTATATCCAGGCTGACACAATTGTATACGTATAGCCACAAGAGGAATTTTTTTCAAGTCAGATCACATTACTGCACCATTCTTAACAACAGCACTTAACACCCAGCTCTCCATATTTTTATCAGCAGTTATCATTATTATTACCACAAACTCATCAAATAAAATCTAAAATAATTTTTATAATCCCAACCCAACATAGCTGCTGGCCTACTGCAACATAAGACCAGAGTCATTCAACATACTGGTGCATCAGCAGCTCTATATGTGGCCGGGTCCGCTGGTTCATGATGGAGAAAAACTCGTTACTGTACTCACTAAATGGGGAAAAACTGAAATACCGGTAGCTTACTGACAAGGCAAGAGTGCTTTAAACTGGACCAGAACTATATACAGTATATTATTTATATATACTCGTATATACAGTACTGTACTTGTTTTAACAGGGTGTTTCAAGGCATGACCTGGCACTGGTATACATTATTCTTCCACCCTACTATATATACTCACCTATAAAACACCTTCTCTCTGTCTATCATAAACCCGTAGAGAAATTAATTGGATGAGATTCCTTTTCCAACAGCCACTCTAAGATACCTAGGTACACCATATTAGGAGTGTTGGTAAATGTTTGGGATCAGGACAACTAAAGCCATATTGGGAAGCAAAATCATTCAGGTTAACCAGATCTCATGTAGGTTACAGTAATTCACCTGATGGTTGAATGTTAGGTTAGGTTATGTGATGTTAGATATGGTTAGGTCATGTTATATTATAATATCTTAGGTTAGGATGTTTGTCAGGTGGAATAAACTGGGGTGCATAATCTTTATGAGATCTTTATGAGATATGTTTAATTTTAACATATGATATAATGACCCTGTACCATACCATACTGTTCATGAGTACATTAATTGTCAGATAATAAAGCTCTTTCCAACATTACCCTCGTAGATGCCGAACATATTGTAAAAATAAATTAATGAATATATAAATACATAAAGTAAACGATGCACAATACAGCCAAATATACACCAATAACCCGCACGGTGTCACGTGCTGAAGATGTTCTGGGCCTAACCTAACCTAACTTAACCTTACCTAATCTTTTATTCTGAGGGGTAACTCAGTTTGCCTCAAAGTTTCAATGCGGTGTTGATCGAACTGTGCACGTCCGGAACATTTTCAGCATGCCACAACGGCACATTATTTAACAATAAAGAAAGAGGAGTGCCTCACCTTCAGGAGCTATCGGGTAGGCCAGGGCATGGTAGACGCTCCCGGCCACCAGGACGCAGACGGCAACAACATTCCCCGACCCCATTTTTTTTTATATCAACGAGGAATTTTCAAGAGGACAGATGGGGATGAATTACCACCAAGAAAGGCTCCGCGAACCTTCCTACACTCTCACGACACACCATCATCACATTTGTATTTCAATTTCCACTATTTCACTCTCGTCGTACTCAAATCACTCTTCCATCAATGCATACAACATCACTTTGCCGTAAACACATCACATAATACATTTCTGTAGGTATATATTTTTTCTCAGCGTGTATATGATCCCAGAGGACCAGACGGGTAACACTCTCTCATGGGTAGGTAGCAGCAACACACTATTTTTGCTGTATGTGCTGACCAATTGATTGATATGCACTTCAAAGCTCACCAAATGACCTGAAAAAAAAATGGGATTAATATATGCAATAAAGACCTTGAGAAAGACACAAAATATTATGTTATTTCGGAAAATAGTACGAAACCTTTATATAATGGACCCTGAACTAATGGAGGTTTCACATTTAATGGAACCTCGATGTAATGGACTTCCCCACCATAGTTCGTTAAATGGAGGTTCCACCGTATATAAGATTAGTAATTCTCATGTCCTTAATTAAACAAAAACTTCTTCCTCTCAAAATTAAACACAAATGACCCAAAATAATCCATACAGGTAAAACATCAAAATGAATGATATAAATTAACTTTTCAAAATAAACTAAAAACTTCTATTATATATTTCTCAGTATTATCTGACCTGGGACACACTAACCACTTGTTTATTTCCTAATATTATATGAACCAATCAACAGGAAGTGCCCTTTAAGTAAATTCTGGTGAACTTATGCATTTAATTGTTCATAAGTCTTCATACAAATTTACAGAGGTTCATGTATACAAAAATAATTATAAACAATAAGTCAATTAACACCAAAAGCAAAAGGATTATATTAAAAGCTATTTATATTGAGACCTTTAAATGGGTGACACCTGAGTTTGACATAAAGGTAGATAACTCGTTATTCTTCAGTCAAATCGTTATTAAGTTCATTTAAGTCCTTCAAATCCCGGTTCAATAATCTTATATTATTTTATTTCAGTGTGTAAATGTTTCTTTTTATATATAACGGTGATAGAGGATGACACACGAGGAACAAGTGTGTAATGTATGAGTCATGACACCGCCTCTCTCGTTATTGCTTAACTGCCCTCAATCTCCTCCTCCCTCTCTCCCTCTCAACTTAATTCATTCTAACAACAATTCTCTCATGAGTAACACAAACATACAAATATATCTTCACAGCTGTCGCTTTTGTCACAACTACGAGACAACATAAAAAAGTTTGGACTAGAAAAATAAAAAAAACAAAGTTTGGGGGAGTTCTTCCTAAAGTCACCGTAAGGTTCAAGTTTACTTGTCTTTCTAGTAATTTGTGAAATATATTTTATAGTATGCGTTTATTTTCAAACACTTTATTATACTTCACGATGTTTAATTAATATATATTGACACGTTTAAGGAGAGTACACAATACCTATTGCTAAGGGAGAGCGTGGAACAGCACCGTACACGGACACACAAACACCTGCACTGAAGTGTTTACAACCTCCCTGCCAGCCAAGTTGACACTGTTGCCACAACCGTTCCACCTTCATACCTTACCCATAATCTCATCGCCTAAAAAGTATTTCTTATATTTAGCTAATATGATATAAATAAACAATATAATCACCTCAGAAATATATTGATTCTTAAATTGACAACAATAAAATTTAATTGTGAGTGTTATATTTATGCAAGAAGTAATTCCCTGGTGGAAATAAGATTATAATGACTTTTTGGGATTATCCCTGGTCAGATCGCCTTACTGTTTACAATTGTTTATATACATGCACTGTATATGTATATACTGAGCTAATATGAACTTTCATGATTATTTTATTAAATAAATATATATTAATCTCTATCTATCTACCTATACGCAGGAAATTTCATCAAATGTACTTGGTATCATTGGGTTTCCTCCAAATGTCACTTTCGTACGAATTTGTAAAGTTAATGTACTTTATTTAAACTTAAATGGTCTTTGTCAAAGAAAATGAATATGTATTTAAGACACATTTATCTTTTTGATGAATAAAATATGATCTCAACAAGTTAGCCACTCGGTAAATACTTAGCTGCCTGTATTTCATATCCCCCATTAACCAATAATTGGACAGTTACCTGAAAAGTTAATTGAGAGAAGAAATTTTTATATATCGAATCAATGTGTGCATATAAGCCATCCGGGAAATTAAACCAATTTTTACCACTTATTCTGTTATATACAATGATACACACCTGTACAGACTCAAGGTGGTCCATGAATGTAAGCAACAAGCTGTTCAAATCGTCTCTTACCTATTCAGGTTGTACAATTAAATGCTTAGCTTCGTTGGATTTCCTGGCTGTCAACTACTACGGTCATTACGGTGTGAAAACCACTCCCTTTCACACCAGGAAAAGTCAAAGAATTACACGCAGTAAGAAAAACATCCCGAATGGTACTTGGCTTCACTAATATTGTGATATAAATAATCAATTAAATATAACTGTCCTTAGATAAAGCTAAATAATCATAAACTGAGGGAATGAATCAAGTATATAACAGGAAAAAAAATAACCTTTCCCGCCACAGTTTAGTTATCGCTCGAACTTTCTACAGAAAACGAAAGAAATTATTTAGTTTAAGAAAAGGGTGATTTGAGGGCTAACGTAATAGAACTTATATTCTTCCATTGAAACAGCTACCTATTGATGTCATATGATTTAAACAAATTTAACGGTGTCTGTCCATGGTAAAAAATGCTCAACTCCTAATTTATAATCATGGGCAAGATTGTTATATGCCCTATTTTACTTACAGTAAATATTGGGAATGGTATCCGCTTACAATATTTACTGTGACCATTTACAATATTTACTATAAGTAAAACAAGTTAATTACTATGTATTTATTTATTGTAAGTGCACAGGGACTTGTAGTGGACTTCTCCCCTACAACTGCGTAGCGGCGTCACCAGCTGCTACCATCCTCCCTAGCAACCAAGCGAGCGGCGACACCAGATGTTACGGTAACCTAGCAACGGAACTAGAGACCGGCGACTTTCTCGGGTTTTCCCAACATGACTCATAGAGGACTCGCGGCTGCTGGGTATATAAGCTCTGTCTCTCCATTGAGATTCATTCTGCCCATCTTCCTGAACACGCAACACCTCCTCCAGCAAGCTCCACGCTGTCCAGCTTTCATTCAACCAGGAGGCCAGCAACAGGCAACATCTTCTCTAACGAAGCTCCTGCACTTCTACCTCCTTCAACACGCTACTCACCGAACGTCTCTACTGAGCAGCTCCTCACCACACGGCACCTCCAGCACCAGACTGTCTATTATATAACTTATATTATACAAGAAAACCACATTAGAGTTTCCATCCATCCTGAGTGCTAGACAACATTATACCACGAATTCCTACAGACTCTTCTAACACCCTGTATTAACTAAACATCGTATTAGAAGTACAATGAACGCGTGCCTTTTCTCGCAGAATCTGCAACGTGGATCCTGTTGACAGCTCCAGGTCTGGTGTCCCCATTTACAACACTTGAGACACATTACTAGTTCCTCTACATATGGCGCCACCTTCCTGTACCCTGCACCCATGGTGAACACTTTGTCTGGAACCTCTCCTCTCGTTAGAGCAATAACCTGGCTTCCCTCATCGACCCTTATTAAATGCCTCTTGACACAAACAAATCTACCATCATCAAGTAAGAATTCTGGGTCCAGTATTACAGGGTTCCTGAAGATTATAACCTTTGTAAGCTTATCTCTCTCTTATAAGAAATCCATCACTAATTCCTTGTACCCAACAGTCGTCAACATTTCCACAGCCTCCATGGTCCCCAGTGTAAGGTAAGGTTTTTGTGTTCCCGCTTTCAAATGAGTCTCAAAGCTGAGATGCGCCTGTCCTGTCTAAGCTGCCTATCTTAATTTTTCAAGGAAGGTCTTCGTGCATGACTGAAAAAAGAAATCAATCAGTTCCTAACACGACCAACTTCTCCGTGTGTGTGTTCTTGTCTTCTTCCTTCACAGTATCTCCTTTCTGTTATTTTAGTTATTTTTACCCTTTTTGTCTCTTCTCCTCTCTCTCTCTTCTTCACTTTCACTTACCTCCTCTTGTCAACCTGTCTCCTTCAGCCTTTTACAAATTCATTTTTTGTTCACTACCTCTTGTAATAGCTGTATTTCCTCAACTCGTGACTCCTCTCGTGTTTCATCATAAGCATTAAACTTATCATCTTCCAGAACTTCGTCCAATACTTTCATACCAACCTCAGAGTTCCCTGACGAGCCTGGGGCACGACCCGTCACCAACCTGGATTGATGAGACCCCGAGCTGTTACTTTCGTGTGGCAAAAACAGCAAAGTTACCAACACCAAAGTTTCTATCTGGTACTCATCTTATCCTTAGGGCTTTATACACATGTAGGTAAGTTTATAAATCCTTCGCATTATCAACTTGGCTTGAAAACATTAAAAATTTGTGAGCTAGCACTCACAGCCGTGTTTACCAATGGCCGTTTTCTATGGAACTCTGATGTTGTAGGTTAGTAATGAAAACTTTCTATGTACTATATTATTGGTTAATTACGTGCAGATTTCTGGCGGATTTAGCTGCATCGATGATTCAATAGGTAGTAGCAGTTACGGGATGCAAATGAACAAGAAATATCACTCTCTTAGGCATGTTATCGACAACAGCCACAGATTTTTCATTCCTACTCTACAACAAGTGAATTGTAAACCTAAAAGTATTAAAAGAATTATAGATTATTCAAACACATTTATTTATTTCACAGAAAACAAACAGATACTATCAGTGACGCCAGAGAGCCAGTTACCATTTGTAGGGTAGAGGCAAGTATTGACAGTCATTGAGTCGGTATATACTCGTATAGGTCAGGAAATACAAACGTCTAATATTTCTGAAGAGTCGAGTGTATAGTGGATGGAGAGAGTGATGAAGGAGATGGTGGTGTTCAAATTCATGGCTGGCCCTTGCAGTTGGCCTCGCCTTCAAGAGAAACTGGCAGGAGTCACCTTTAGTTGGTGGGATGATGAGTTCATTTACTCTTAAGTCGACATTTAGTTCGGTCAGGATTATCATTCATTCACTTTATTTCCTGGCAAGAACTACGCTGATGGGATAGAAGCTCTGGGGGTTGACCTGCTGCTGTCGTTGTTGTTGTTGTTGAGTGGTGAACTGGACGTTGTCGAGACGGCCTTTAGTGGTCTGGAAATTCTGGAACTGACGACCTTGCTGGCGGTTGTACTGGTTGGTGTTGGTGTTACGTTCGAAGTCGTCAGCAGAGCCACGGGTGAACTGGTTGTGGTTCTGGGTAAACTGGTTGCGGTCTTGGTTGACCTGGTTTCGGTCCTGGTTGAACTGGTTGCGGTCCTGGTTGAACTGGTTGCGGGCCTGGTTGATCTGGTTGCGCTCCTGGTTGAATTGGTTGCGGTTGCTGCTGTACATACTACCACGGACCTGGGTGAGCCTGTCAGTGTTGTCAACAGAGCTCTTCAGGATCACACCAGACCCAGCAGCCGTACTTAGCTGTGACTGATCCCGTTGGAACAGATTTCTGAGGCTTTGTCGGTCCTGAAACTGGTTGTGGTCAATTTGTTGGTTCTGGAACTCGTTGCGGTTATCTTCCTGACTCTGGAATTCACGGAGGACATTCTGCTGGTTTTGGAACTGGTTGAAGAGGTTCTGCTGGTTCTGGAACTCGTTGCGGTTATCTTCCTGACTCTGGAATCCACGGCGGTCATTCTGCTGGTTCTGGAACTGGTTGAGGCGGCTCTGCTGGCTCTGGAACTGGTTGCGAGTAGAAAGTTGGTTCTGGAGCTGCTTGCGGCGGTTCTGGTGGTTCTGCAACTGGTCGCGGGTAGACAGTTGGCTTTGGAACTGGTCGCGGGTAGACAGTTGGTTCTGGAACTGGTTGCGGCGGTTCTGTTGATTCTGGAACTGGTCGCGCCTTTGCTGGTGGCTTTGGCTCTGGAAGTCTTCATGGGTGGAATGCTTGGTAACAGTCGCCCGGAAGCCAGTGTCGGGAGCTACAGAGTAGTCGACGATGCGGAAAGAACCATCAGGGTCCATGACGCTGTACTGGCCCACCACTACGTCTCCTCGACGCTCCTCCCGGGCAGACTTTTTGTCCCCTGTCGACTTGGCGTCTACCTCGTAGGCCCACATGTACTCTGGGTCCTGCAGGAAACACAACATTATCTTTAACTGAACCTTAACTATATGTTATACAAGAAATGTTAACTTTTATGACCAATTGTAAACAACTCAAGAGACTTTGAAAACTAACATAGACGAATACAATGTTAGGCAATTTTAAGAGGAAAGTTGACTCACGGGGTCGTTGTAGGCGACTTGGTCGTTGCTGTAGGTTCTGGCCAACTCCTCAGAACGGTGCTTGAAGGCCTCGGATAAGACCTGGTGGTTGTCAAGGAGCTCCTGAGGAGGTGTGAGGCCTTGTTCCAGCTGCACCCCTCGTGAGTCTAACATGTAGGAGGCGTCTTGTGCCAACGCCTGGGACCACACGCCCACACACAACACAACCAGTACAACCTGAGGAGAAAAGGCAGAAACTGATACTCTTCTCCCTGAAGGAAACTGACAAAGCCAAGAAAGTCGTCTGCATACAGTGTGTTTATTGCACTTAAAAATATTTGATAATTTAAAACAAGTAAAAATTCAACTCTTAGGAAATTTGCACTTTATCAAAGAAAGTAGACAAATGATACTTAAAAAAATGTTTGTTTAACAGTAGTGAGACATTTAGACTGAGAAGTAATAAATGATTAGTTTGAGATTGAAGTAAGCACTCGACGAGTCGACTGGATGAGAGCCGTCAAGTGTGTGTGTGTGGCACGTGAGCAAGAAAAAATAAATAAAAATGGAAGTGCATGTATATACAGTAGTTTAATAATACTAAGACATATCATATGATAACAGAAGCCATTAAGCTATGGGACACCTGTCAAACTATCATGTACAAGCTTAGCAAAGTTTCACACTATATTAATACACCAGAAATTCCACCCACAAACTCTCACCTGGACGAATGGCAAGTTGTTTTTAGCAGAAGGATGATTTTTAAGACATCTCAACAGGTGTGAAACAGAATATTTTATGCTGTAATTGGGTCTTATAGACAGCTAGATGACTTACCTTCATGTTGGGGAGATCAGCAGACAGTGATATTGTGTGGCTGGCTGCCTCGACTTATATACCAGACGGTGGTAACCCAACACGCCGCCAACACTGAACCTCACCTGTTTTGGTTCTCACTCTCGACGCTCTTGGTATATTCCTTAATTCCTTCGACTCTTCTGAAACAATAGTACGTGTTTGATTACCTAACATTACATACACTAAATAAAAGATCATTTAACATCTTAAACTACAAAACTTCGTTCAGGGAATAATGACTTACATCGAGGTGTGTGTGAGAGTAAGAAGAGGGAGAGTACTCTAGTGAGGAAGGTTGAGTTTGGTTCAGGAGGTGGTAGTGGCCTTGAAACACCTCACCTCACGGGAAGAACCACCTCCCGGGGCCTCAAGTCTGCCGTCTACCCAGGTGTGTTGGCGTCAACCTGTCATGCCTGTTGCCTCTACTGGCTGGTGTAGTGGTAGGCTGGCGTAGTGGTAGGCTGGCGTAGTGGTATATAATAAATCTATAACCATCACCACCACCAACACCTCCATCACCATGACCACCACCATCACCACCAGCAGGTTGGGAAACACTAGACACTGGTAGGGTGACAGAAGGCGTTATAATATAAACGTATCAGGTGTTTTTGTTTCTTGTTTCAGTACAAGTTTGTTTATGTTGTGTCGTCCACCTGTGTGACTGATGAGGTAAACGTGAATAACTACTACGACTTTTATTCTTTATAATATGGCCTCGAACCTCCCCTAATTTTACTACTACTACTACTACTACTTTTTTTTTAAAACGTGGCCTCCAGCGTCCCCCAATAGCCACACCTTCGCCACCATTTAATTACCTTAATAATAAATATCCTAATACATAAGTAACTATCCTATCTGTGTTAAATTAGTTGAGCCGCAGATCTATGCGGCATTCAGTGACAGTAGCCTCATAGTCAATATCTACTACTACTACTACTACTTTTTTTTTTTTTTTAAACGTGGCCTCCAGCCTCCCCCAATAGCCACACCTTCGCCACCATTTATTTACCTTAATATTAAATATCCTAATACATAAGAAGCTATCCTATCTGTGTTAAATTAGTTGAGCGCAGATCTATGCGGCATTCAGTGACTGTAGCCTCATAGTCAATATCTGCAGCAGTTGTCGGAGTTGGGGCAGAAGCTCTCGTTCCCCTGAGGCAGAGCAAAGCCGACCGAAGGAGAGAGAAGGACAGTCGACATCTCATCCAGGCTGTAACATAACTTCTGGGCTGCTGCTTCTGTTCGGAGATCAACTCCGCGAGTCTGGCGTAGAAACATCTTGCACTTGGGCCCATCCCACCAGAGGTTGTGAACACTAGAGGAGTGAAGCTGCCTTGATCAACGTTTTGAATTCTCTCCCCATATGCCCTTCTCTTGTCGTTCTCGTTCCTCCTATGTGCAGCATCGAGAGCTAGGTTACGGTGACAAGCGGCCATGGGATCAAAAATCCTGATGTCGAAGAAAGCTCGCTGTCCCCGCGTCCAGAATCCTCGAGCACTGACGTCCACACGGGCTTCGTTAGATGTGTTTGAAGTCCTGTGTTGGAAGATCTCGCCATCCAATGGAAGGAGGGTCGGTTCTACCATGACGTCCCGGCAGATTTCCTTCAACATATTTGCTGTGAGATCCCTTACCTCGTCATGCCTCATGCATATGAAGTCCCCCTACTACTACTACTACTTTTTTTTTTTTTTTAAAACGTGGCCTCCAGCCTCCCCCAATAGCCACACCTTCGCCACCATTTATTTACCTTAATATTAAGTATCCTAATACATAAGCAGCTATCCTATCTGTGTTAAATTAGTTGAGCCGCAGATCCATGCGGCATTCGGTGACTGTAGCCTCATAGTCGATATCTGCAGCAGTTGACGGAGTAGGGGCAGAATTTCTCGTTCCCCTGAGGCAGAGCAAAGCCGACCGAAGGAGAGAGAAGGACAGTCGACATCTCATCCAGGCTGTGACATAACTTCTGGGCTGCTGCTTCTGTTCGGAGATCAGCTCCGCGAGTCTGGCGTAGAAACCTCTTGCACTTGGGCCCATCCCACCAGAGGTTGTGAACACTAGAGGAGGGAAGCTGCCTTGATCAACATTTTGAATTCTCTCCCCATATGCCCTTCTCTTGTCGTTCTCGTTCCTCCTATGCGCAGCATCGAGAGCTAGGTTACGGTGACAAACGGCCATGGGATCAAAAATCCTGATGTCGAAGAAGCTCGCTGTCCCCGCGTCCAGAATCCTCGAGCACTGACGTCCACACGGGCTTCGTTAGATGTGTTTGAAGTCCTGTGTTGGAGGATCTCGCCATCCAGTGGAAGGAGGGTCGGTTCTACCATGACGTCCCGGCAGGTTTCCTTCAACATATTTGCTGTGAGATCCCTTACCTCGTCATGCCTCATGCATATGAAGCCCCCCTTCTTGCAAACCATGGCGTGATCGCCATCATAGGAATAGCCACACACGCATTGGGAGGGCAAACCATCTACTGGCCAACCGTACCTTAGAGCAATGGCATCTGTAAATTCTTGTTTGTTAAGGCTGAAACCATTTGCCCTTATCGGTAACGTAGTTAACCAGTTCGAGGCGCCCACCTCCTGCGCTATAGCTACTTTTTTTGTCAAATTTTCTGGAACCTGCAGCAATAGTTGCTGCAACATGTCATTTTGGCAGTGCTGCCGATCTGTTGTAATGGATCTACGGATCTTATTAACTTCGCTGGTGTCCACTTCCCCTGTTGCATTCTGGGCTATTATGTGGTCAGTGAGGGCTGCCGTGAGCTTAAGTGAATTTTGATGTTCAGAGTCAGCAATCTCCTCTGGATTAGTTAGTCCCATCCCTCCCAGTCTTGGTGGAAGTGCAAGAAGTGTTCTTTCTACTGGGGTTAAGTCGTGGTGTTTCACTAGTTTGGGAATGAACTTGACACTGATTGCTTCTTCCAAAGGGTGGAGGAGGGGTCGGATCTCAGGGATGGTACGCATCAGGTAGTTCCAACGATGCTTGACTCCATGTGTGAATGCTGCAAAGGCCGCATGTGGCTCTGTGTTAGCAATCTCCGATAGAGCATGGATTTCGCTAACCCACTCATTCACCTTTCCCCCTACGTACTGGGTCTTGAAGTCCGTAGTGCCAATTACTGCGCCTAGATGTCTTTGGCCGTCCTTAGTTATTTTGACCTCACTTTCGCCGAAAACCTCCACAGCCCGATCATAATGATCTGGCTTCACGATGAGGAAGGATTTGCTGGCGTTTGGGTGGTACCCTATTTGTGGACCTCGCGATGTTACCAGGTCCCACCACTTTTTGATGTCCTCCACTTTTCCTGCTCCTGTGAGGTCATCAGCATATGCCACTTGTTTGACCCCAGTTGTTTCATACTTTATTTCTTGTTGGAGCACTGATAGGCCTATTGCATACATTGCCATTGCAACGGGGTCTCCCTGTGTTGTTCCCTCGGTCGACTGTAGGATGGTATCACCTCGTAGAGCCTTGTTGTTTACTACGTAGAGGTCTGAAGGATTCCTATACGAATTTTCAACATACATCGCAAAGCTAGGACACTTGATCTTGATGTTGTGCAGTGCCGCCTTGCGGTTAAGTATGTTGAATGCGTTTGAAGCATCCACCAGGAGAACGGCCTCACAATCACGCTGCTCAAATATCAATCTCATGGCGTGAATGGCCGCCTCCCCACCAGCCTGGTGGCCAGCACACACTTGTAGGTTCCCTGCTGCTGCCCTGACATCATCCTTTACCACCTCCATTATACACTTTCCGATGATCCGCCTCAGCACTTCCCCCACCCCTATAGGTCTACATCCTGGTTTCTTTTCCAGAGGAATAAGGCGGCAGGCCGTCAGAGCCTGGAGGTGATGGCAGCAAGAGGATGCAAGCTTTCTTGCAAGGGTGGCAATGGCAGTGCAGAGATCGCTTGCTACAGGGCCAAACTTGTTTGTGCTGAGGATGACTCTCCAACCGTTTGCATCCAGACCTGAAGGGCCGGCTCCTCCTCGAGTCTTCAGTGCCTTTTTCCACACCATCTCTCCTGTTATTTTCTCGAACAGGACAGCGTTTGGTGGGATATAGGCACCCTGGAGCCTGATGCCTTCATCTTCGCTTGCAGGGGGATGTTTCTCTTTCAATAGTTTTAATGTCGCTCTGTTTATTGGCATCACTCCACCGGAGGATTCATGTGTGAGAGATCTTACCGCGAGAGACACTTTTCCCACACGCATTTTGTTTCCAAATTGTCTTGCCACGTCATCGGTGTTTTGCTTTCCGTCACCCGTAGATTTTAGTCTCTCCTGCAGTGTTCTTGCTTCACATAGGAGATCATCTAGGGCCCCAGTCTGCCACATTGTCAACCTTCTCTTCATTGCTGCCACATTTTCTTTGTGCTTAGCCTTTGTGTGTGTCCTCTGACAAAATAGATGTGGTATTATTGCCAGTATTTGAAGAGCTAGGGGGGCGAGGAAGCGGTCCTGAGTGTAATCAGTCATGAAGTGAGTCATCTCCCGAATCATTTCTTTGGTGGCCGCACACTTGGGTGGTTCAAATAAGTTAGCGGGCGACCACTTGACAATTTCTGAGTAGGTTTCTTTGACCCATACGCCTGCATTTTCCATCGACATGCCATTCCACTGAGGCGGCTGTCTCTCATTCTCCTCGTGGACACCTGCTACTGAGGGAGCAGCATTTATTAGTACTACATTATCGGGTTGAGTAGACTCACTGCTATCATTTCGGATATCATCGGGTAGTTGGGTCCCGGCGATATCCACTGTGGCCGCCTGTGTCGGCTCCCTGCGACGTGGGTTCCGACACTGGTCTAGCTTCCTGCAATTCACACATGGTCGGTTATTTCTCGCACAAACACAATTTGTGCAGTTTTGGTTCGGGCTAGCACAGACGCAGCAAGGAATGTTACCAGGCATAGTGACCAGCACCTTGGGCGACGGTAACGTCTGCCTCCGGACATCTGATTTAGTCCCAGGCACAAGATTATACTGGTTCTTATGAGGGAAGGGCGGAGAGGTGACAGGCTGGACTGGTGTGTCCAGGTAGTAGGGGCATACGTGCGCGCGTGGGTGTGTAGGTTACCCCCCCTAATAGCGACCATCCATACATCAGAATGATACACTATGGACAAGAGTTTGTCACACCAGGCACTAGTTTATATTTCCTTGGCACAAATAACCACTATTTATATGGTCTCACTGGTGTAATATCAGTTATGTATACTCACTAGGTTCGTCGAGACCCTACATTAAGAGTCCGTTACTATGGTGGTGGGGGGGTGGGGGCGACCGCATGGGCAGCACTCTCGGCCCCATAGGGGCGATAGTCTCGGGACCACCCCTGTCACAGTAGGCCTAACGACACTGACCTTGGCGCCGAGCCTTCTCATTATCCTACCACTGACCCAGCACAGGTCACCACTCACTTGGTGAACGCCGGTGAACACACGGAATATTTACAATTTATGCCGTAAGGGATGAGAAGAAACCTTGGGTGGCAATGCTTAGGGTGACATCCGATATTCACGGACACATTGTCAAATTCCCACTCCCACACAACGAGTATGTCCCCACCAATAACACTTTAGATCAGGAGGGACGGTCCACGACACCCACGCCGCGCTGGCCGCCGCCTACCACTACCACTACTACTACTACTACTACTACTTTTTTTTTTTATTCATTAGCCATTACGTGGCCTCCAGCCTCCCCAACAGCCACACCTTCGCCAATTACTCTATTTACCTTAATATTAAATATCCTAACATAAGCAACTATCCTATCTGTGTTATTGGTTGAGCCGCAGATCGATGCGGTATCTGGTGACTGTAGCCCTCATAGTCGATAATCTGCAGCAGTTGACGGAGTAGGGGCAGGCTCTCGTTCCCGTATATCATTATTATTACTACTACGTGTACTAATATTTTTCATATATTATTACCAATATTATTGTTATTATTATGTTCCCGAGCGTGGGTATGGTTGACGCCTTATTGATAAAATCGTGAAGCAGCAGCTGGATTAAGTTCCTCGCTGTCAGTGCCTCACCCTACACTCGTTCTTCGCACCTTCAACACACTCCGTCACTATCAAGTACTGAGGACTGTATTGTATGTCAGTCGACCTTGTATATGTTAGGAGGCTGGTTTATTCAGCGGGGTGTTGTGTTACAGGCAGACTGGTATATAAGGCGGACCAGTAGGGGTATATATGTCATTCTTCTCTCATATCTCCAACATGAAGGTAAGACATCATGAGCTTAAAGTAGCTTTAACAGCGTAAAAGATCTTTATTAAAGAGAAGAGGAGCATCTTTATTTAATAATCCTGGACTCAGTTAATTACTTTATATTCTTTTAAGGTGGACCTCTACGTCACACAACACGGATGTCACTCTATATAGACGAAACAGTTAATGATATTGAGAATAATTCAATTTTCAGTCATGCCGAAGTCGATTGAATAACTGACTTTTGAATTTAGTAATAGTATTCAGATGTATAATATATATATTCATAAAACATTTCATGCATCAGTTGAAACAATCACCATATTTGACAGATACAACTAACTGTTGTGTTGTGTGTGGGCGTGTGGTCCCAGGCGTGGGCACAAGACGCCTCCTACGTGTTAGACTCACGAGGGGTGCAGCTGGATCAAGGCCTCACACCTCCTAAACAGCTCCTTGACAACCACCAGGTCTTATCCGAGGCCTTCAAGCACCGTTCTGAGGAGTTGGCCAGAACCTACAGCAACGACCAAGTCGCCTACAACGACCCCGTGAGTCAACTTTCCTCTTAAAATTGCCAAATATTATATTCGTCTATGTTAGTTTTCAAAGTCTCTTGAGTTAGTTTACATTTGGTTATAAACGTTACCATTTCTTGTATAACATATAGTTAAGGTTCAGTTAAAGAAAATGTTGTGTTTCCTGCAGGACCCAGAGTACATGTGGGCCTACGAGGTAGACGCCAGGTCAACAGGGGACAAAAAGTCTGCCCGGGAGGAGCGTCGAGGAGACGTAGTGGTGGGCCAGTACAGCGTCATGGACCCTGATGGTTCTCTCCGCGTCGTCGACTACTCTGTAGCTCCCGACACTGGCTTCCAGGCCACTGTTACCAAGCAATCCACCCATGAAAACTTCCAGAGCCAAAGCCAATACAACCAGCAAAGGCGCGACCAGTTCCAGAAACAACAGAACCACCGCAACCAGTTCCACAACCAACAGAACCGCCGCAACCAGTTGCAGAACCAACAGAACCGTCCCGACCAGTTCCAGAACCAACAGAGCCGCCCCGACCAGTTCCAGAACCAACAGAGCCGCCTCGACCAGTTCCAGAACCAACTGTCTACCCACGAACAGTTCCAGAACCAACTGTCTACCCACGAACAGTTCCAAAACCAACAGAGCCGCCTCGACCAGTTCCAGAACCAACAGAACCGGCGCAACCAGTTCCAGAACCAACAGAACCGCCCGGACCAGCTTCAAACCCAACTGTCTACCCGTGACCAGTTCCAGAACCAACAGAGCCGCCCCGACCAGTTCCAGAACCAACAGAACCGCCCCGACCAGTTCCAGAACCAACAGAGCCACCCCGACCAGTTCCAGAACCAACAGAACCGCCCCGACCAGTTTCAGAACCAACAAAGCCGCCCCGACCAGTTCCAAAGCCAACAGAACCGCCCCGACCAGCTCCAGAACCAACTGTCTACTCGCGACAAGCTCCAGAACCAAGAAAATGTTGTCCAATATTATTCACAGAGTAGACAACAGCAGCACCAGTACCAGCAGAACCAGGAAAGCATCAACCAGTTCCAACAGAACCAGAACCAAGAGAACCAAAACCTGTACCAGCAGAACCAGCAGGAGGAGAGCCGCAACCAGTATCAACAAAACCAAAACCAATTCCAGCAGAATCAGTATCAGCAGAACCAGGAGAACCGCAACCAGTACCAACAGAACCAGGAGAACAGCAACCAGTACCAGTCCAAGTATCGCACGAGTACCAACCAATACAACCACAACAACCAGTCCAACAACCTCCACAACAACAGGTACAACTCACAGACTTACGGCTCCACCAACAACAACCAGAACTACAACCAAAACTCACACCTCAACTCCAACCTTTTGAACCTGGAATACAACCAACAACTCTCCCAGTTATCCACCAACAACCACAACCAGTACGGAAGGAGCCAAGTTAGTGTGGTTCTTGCCGGAAATCACAAGTATCGACTACAACAAATGAACCACTGGCAACACTAAATGGTTGTGAGAATGTCTTTACTCTGTATAAACTGTCAATATAATACTATGGTACTGTATTTTTATGTATTTCTCGCTAAACAAAGCAGAATGTATTAATGTTTTTTATTTGGTTGACGCTATTGTATGTTTGTGTTGTGTTAGTGAATGATGTTGAAGTGTTGGTGAAAGTAAACACTAATATACAGTATACGTCAAGTATTGGTGAGAGTAAACACTAATATACAGTATACGTCAAGTGTTGGTGAGAGTAAACACTAATCTACAGTATACGTCAAGTGTTGGTGAGAGTAAACACTAATATACAGTACACGTCAAGTGTTGGTGAGAGTAAACACTAATATACAGCATGCATCAAGTGTTGGTGAGAGTAAACACTAATATACAGTATAGGTCAAGTGCTGGTGACAGTAAACATTTATATACAGTATACGTCAAGTGTTGGTGAGAGTAATCACTAATATACAGTATACGTCAAGTGCTGGTGAGAGTAAACATTTATATACAGTATACGTCAAGTGTTGGTGAGAGTAATCACTAATATACAGTATACGTCAAGTGCTGGTGAGAGTAAACATTTATATACAGTATACGTCAAGTGTTGGTGAGAGTAAACACTAATATACAGTATAGGTCAAGTGTTGGTGAGAGTAAACATTTATATACAGTATACATCAAGTGTTGGTGAGAGTAAACACTAATATACAGTATAGGTCAAGTGTTGGTGAGAATAAACATTTATATACAGTATACATCAAGTGTTGGTGAGAGTAAACACTAATATACAGTATACGTCAAGTGTTGGTGAGAGTAAACATTTATATACAGTATACATCAAGTGTTGGTGAGAGTAAACATTTATATACAGTATACATCAAGTGTTGGTGAGTGAGAGTAAACATTTATATACAGTATACATCAAGTGTTGGTGATGTTGGGGACTGGATGAGATATAATATATATTTGGCTCTACACAGCTCTCGACCCTCTCCTGGTCTACCTGCCTTAACGTACCAAATTTCAGGTGTCTATCTGCTAGACTAGAACTATATGTTCACTACAACACTAGAACTATATGTTCACTACAACACTAGAACTATATGTTCACTACAACACTAGAACTATATGTTCACTACAACACTAGAACTATATGTTCACTACAACACTAGTTCCATATGTTCACTTTTTTTTTTTTTTTTTTAACGTGGCCTCCAGCCTCCCCCAATAGCCACACCTTCGCCACCATTTATTTACCTCAATATTAAATATCCTAATACATAAGAAACTATCCTATCTGTATTAAATTAGTTGAGCCGCAGATCCATGCGGCATTCAGTGACTGTAGCCTCATAGTCGATATCTGCAGCAGTTGTCGGAGTAGGGGCAGAAGCTCTCGTTCCCCTGAGGCAGAGCAAAGCCGACCGAAGGAGAGAGAAGGACAGTCGACATCTCATCCAGGCTGTGACATAACTTCTGGGCTGCTGCTTCTGTTCGGAGATCAGCTCCGCGAGTCTGGCGTAGAAACATCTTGCACTTGGGCCCATCCCACCAGAGGTTGTGAACCCTAGAGGAGTGAAGCTGCCTTGATCAACATTTTGAATTCTCTCCCCATATGCCCTTCTCTTGTCTCTCGTTCCTCTTAAGTGCGCAGTATCGAGCTAGGTTACGGTGACAAAACGGCCATGGGATCAAAAAATCCTGATGTCGAAGAGAAAGCCTGCCGTCCCTCGTCCAGAATCCTCGAGCACTGACGTCCATTAATGGGGCTTCGTTAGATGTGTTTGAAGTCCTGTGTTGGAAGATCTCGCCATCCAGTGTGGAAGGAGGGTCGGTTCTACCATGACGTCCTGACAGATTTTCAAATATATTTGCTGTGAGATCCTTTACCTCGTCATGCCTCATGCATATGAAGCCCCCCTTCTTGCAAACCATGGCGTGATCGCTATCATAGGAATAGCCACACACGCATTGGGAGGGCAAACCATCTACTGGCCAACCGTACCTTAGAGCAATGGCATCTGTAAATTCTTGTTTGTTTAGGCTGAAACCATTTGCCCTTATCGGTAACGTAGTTAGCCAGTTCGAGGCGCCCACCTCCTGCGCTATAGCTACTTTTTTTGTCAAATTTTCTGGAACCAGCAGCAATAGTTGCTGCAACATGTCATTTTGGCAGTTCTGCCGATCTGTTGTAATGGACCTACGGATCTTATTAACTTCGCTGGTGTCCACTTCCCCTGTTGCATTCTGGGCGATTATGTGGTCAGTGAGGGCTGCCGTGAGCTTAAGTGAATTTTGATGTTCAGAGTCAGCAATCTCCTCTGGATTAGTTAGTCCCATCCTTCCCAGTCTTGGTGGAAGTGCAAGAAGTTTTCTTTCTGCTAGGGTTAAGTCGTGGTGTTTCACTATATGTTCACTACACTAGTTCTATATGTTCACTACAAACTAGAACTATATGTTCACTACAACACTAGTTCCACCACATGTTCACTACTAACACTAGAACTATATGTTCACTAACACTAGAACTATATGTTCACTACAACACTAAGAACTATATGTTCACACAACACTAGAACTATATGTTCAC